GTTTAGGGTTGTTGGAGTTTAGGGTTTTGGGAGGTTCGAACGGCAGGTGTCTCATTTTTTTTTGTTGGTAGGGTTTTTAGGGTTTCGGGTTCAGGGGTTTAGTGTTTTTGGTTTTAGGCTCTAGGGTTTCGGGCTTTTGGCGTTTAGGTTTTTTGTTTGTAGGTTCTAGGGTTTAGGGTTCAGGGGTTTAGGGTTTTTTGTTTGTAGGTTCTAGGGTTTAGGCTTCAGGGGTTTAGGGTTTTTGTTGTTTGTAGGTTCTAGTGTTTAGGCTTCAGGGGTTTAGGTTTTTTTGGGGTTTATAGGGGTTTAGGGTTGAAAGGTTTAGGGGTTTGGGGCTTCAGCGGTTTAGGGCTTAGGAGTTTATATGTTTTTTTTGGTAGGGTGTATGGTTTGGGTGTGTGTATTTCATGTGTAAGTAGTTTACAGTAGTTCAGGTTAGCTGAATTAGGTTAGATAGGGAGATAGGGTTCAACATGTGTGTTCGGCTGTTGATTTGCGGTTTTAGGGCGTGTAGGGAGTAGTTACACAGATAAAAGGTTGTTAGGTAGATAGAGATAGATAGACAGATAGACAGATAGATAGATAGATAGAAAGAAAGAGATAGACAGAGAGATGGACAGAGAGACAGATGGATAGATGGACAGATAGGTTGATTGATTCCGTAGATAAACAGATTTGTAGAGGTGTAGTGCCCTGGACTAGGGTTTCAAGGCTTCTCCTTGTTTACATAGGCTGAGATGTAGTATATTATATTGAAGTTTTTGGGTGGCCCTTAGCATGGGATCCATTAAGTGCTTTGGGATCCTCTGTATAGGCGCTTAACCTTGAACAACTCTGAGCCTAAAGCCCATAAAAAAGGTTAAAGCCTGAATGCAGGCCCTAGCCTGAACCCCGAACGGAAATCAAAATCGCTGTGTCCCTGGCAGGGCAGTTCAAGGATAGCCCTCACTGACCCGCCGCTGGGCTGCAACTTCAAAAACTGCCGAGATCCAGCCTTTGGAGGTATAATTAACATAGTAACCTCAATAAGTACGAGGGGCATCTGGGCTGTCTTCTATAAGTCTTTAAGGTTGATTTCGGATCCCTAAGGAATAGTACTATAGTATTGCTGATGTTTAGGGGTTAGGCTTGGGGATTTTTCGGGATCGACCATTAATAACACCCCAAGGTACCCTTAGCATGGTATTGAATAGTCGGTATCGCAAGCTGGAACAGCTATTTCCGCAGGGTTTGAGGATGTGCTTCGGGTGAAGCGTTCGCGTTGGATTCTGCAGTCCTTGCAGGTTTGAGTTTGGGCTTCGGAAAGGTGTGAAGGGTGGTGGTGTGATTTCCGTTAAGGCCTAAGTTTATGCTGCACAGATGCACGGAAATTTGGTCTTTAAGCATCACCTCATGGAGTTTGAAACCGACTCCTGCAAGAAGCGCAGTGTTGGGACTTCGTGGTTCCAGAAATTGGACGAACTCATTGATAGAGTCCAGAGCCGACGCAGAACTGTGGCTCCAAGTCGCCCAGTGTACCTCCTCACAAACTTTGCCTCCCGAGCATGTTCTATCCATTTTCTTAGAGCTGTGGGGGAGGAAGCTCACTCCGCGCATGGGGCGCATACTAAGTGAAATGGATTGTTGCCTTGCCCTAAGGGTCCATGTGCTCATATTGTATATAGATTCGCCCCAATGTAGTTCCTACTTTGGGGCCCATGATGCTATATGAGTACATGGACCCTTAAAGAAACCCTAAACCCTAAACCCTAAACCCTAAACCCTTAGGGTTGTGGATTCGCAGGGCATGCAGGCTCAGGTTTCCTCAAGTTCTGCGTGCTGCCACGGGGTTTTCTTGGGTTTAGGGTTTAGGGTTTAGGGTTTAGGGTTTAGGGGTTCCTCCGCCAAGGATTCGAGAGTTTGTCATGTCCCGTACTTTGACAGAGTTGTTACCTTAAGCACTGCATGAAATTCCGAGCTCAGCACGTGTAACCCGTTAACGTCCGAGTTTGAGAGCTTGAATCCGCGGCTTGCACGGCCTCAAATCACAAACCCCCAATGAGTCCGCGAATCCTCACTCTGGGCTGTTTGGGGTCCAGGGCAAACCTTATAGTGAGCTCAGGGTATAGCCCACCCAGAACAAGAATCAACATATATTAGTAGCCCCAACAACTGCTTTTAGGACTTGGGTGTAGCATCGTTAAGCTTTCTTGGTCTGCTTGGCATGCTGTGAAGCCTCAGCCACTGTGCTGTGAGTCTGTGCAGCCCCGGACACAGCTCCGAGCTGCAACACGAGTAGGGTCAGTGAGATTGATGGTCTTCTTACTTTCACAAAAGCAAAGCCATACCTCACAGAAACATGTGACGAAATCCTTGTAAAGTGATGGGACCCCCCCCCCCCCCAAATCATCCGTGGTCAAGCAAAATACAAGAAGTTTTGACAAGCGCTCATATGTATATATGGATAAACTGGGAGTTTTGTTCTAGATACCCGCTCATGGCTGCGATGCAGCAGCGTAACCCTCGTCAGGAACTATTCCGGATACGGATGCAGCTTTCTTTTCACAAGTCTTCATAACATGTATGAGGTTATTATACTATCCGAAAACTAAGTACCAGATTTTTTGGGGTGCTTTGGACCCTTGGGGTTACAGAGCCTGCACCAACTGGGCCCCCAAGATCTCCCTGGCTGTTGGGATTCTCGGTTCCCCTACGGGTCCATGTGCTCATCTGGGAGTTTTCGAAAATGAGGGGCACCTTATTTTGGGGTCCTTATAATAAGGATGCTACTATTTAGAGTACTGTATTATTAGGGTCCCCTATTTTAGGAATCTACCATATAGTATATACATTGGCCTGAATGTAGTCCCTATAGAGGTACTTTAAAGGCCCATGTATATGCTTTCTGAGTACATGGACCTTTAGGGTTCTGAAGCGATATCGACGGCGGCCCCGCATGGAGGTAGAATGCACGGGGGAAGACATGTTGCAGGCATATTTCATGGCAAGGATCCCCTTAGACATTCGTCAATGGCAGCTGCCTTACCCTTACCCTCCAAGGACTCATATTTTAAGGCCTTTTGGTCCAAAGACCCTATTATATAAGGCTTTTGGGCTATTTTGATGCAAAGGGTTAATAATTCAATAATGCGCTCCTCAACCGCCTTGTTACACTTGATCCAACCTGATAAAAGCAAGAGAACTATAGTTTGAGGGACGGCATGCTCCTTGCTTAGGTGGTCTTGGCCTGTCTTGGTTTGGCATGGTATCTACCGCTCAACCCTGCGACTCGTCAATCCTAAGCACTGAAACCAGACAGCGACCCTAAACCCTACAACTCGCAAACCCTAAGGGTCCATGTGCTCATATAGTATATATATTGGCCTTGATGTAGTCCCTATATAGGTACTTTAGGGCCATGTATATGCTATATGAATACATGGACCCTTAGGGAAAGCAAGGCAAGATCTTCTGCAGCGAGCACAGGAGGACCTGAATGAAGGGGTGGTGAGGGTCGAGGTCTGCCAGTGGTACCTTTTCAGTTTAGGGTTTAGGGTTTTGGGTTTAGGGTTTATTCGGGGCT